GCTGTCTTCAATGGCGGAGGAAAGAAGCCCTCCCAAAGGGAGGCATTCACCATCGCCTGGATCCAGCCCAATTGTGCTTGTTGATCAGAACACTGGTCTTTAAATACCTTTTTATTTGATGCAAATTAGTGTGGATGTTGTTTGCTTGACTACTGCTGAGTCATGGTCTGACTTTGGACTGTTTTGATTGGCTGGCTGTTGTTATTGAGGCATGGTCTTTGGTTTTAAGTAATCTGATGAAAAATTAGTGTTGTTTGTTTGGATACTTCTGAGTCATGGTCTGGTTTCAGACTGTTTGATTTGATAATTGTTGTGGTTGAGATGTGGTCTGATTTCTTGTAAACTGATGGGTTATGGTTTTGTTATGGCGTAGTGGTGGTTGTTTGTTCGATTTAAATGCTATCTTCACCATGGCGGTTGATGCAGTTCTTTCATTCTCAGTGATTGGTAACCAGATCAATGTCAATATGTCTGTTTATTGACTTGTTGGTGGAAAAACAGGCTTCAAGGAATTTTCTCCTTGATTTTGCTTGGGTTACAACTGTGGTCCCCGTTAGGTCAAATCTCTGTCCTTCTGAATCTTCGTGGATGTGCCTATATATGTGCCTATATATTATTACCATTACTGCAGTTGCAGTCATAAATACATGCAATATCCATTTTACTGACTTCCTGGTAATTTTCAGGCTTAAATGTTTGTAAAACAACCTAGTATTCTAGGAGCAAATTAATATGTGAAATAACATCTGTCTCAAAGGAAACTACATATAACCAATCATTGAGCCAGTGCTATATTTTGAGTACATTGTCAATTATTTTTTGAATCCAATAATTTCCTCTTTTAAAGATGCATAATTGTCCAGTGGAAGTGAAGCAATAATTTTTGTTTTATAAATAAAAATGTTCTTCTATTAATGTTTAGATACCAGACATCTCTTTATCTAATTCACTGTATTCTTACAACAATTTATAGACTTGTTAAATCCATTAAAGGTAGAGAAAGACAAAATATTTATGGCTACCAGCCTACCCTTTTATGTCAGCAAGTATTTTAAAGGAAAACACTGCACTTTGGGGCAAATAGTACCTAGTGCTCCTCAAATAACAAAAAATCCTTTTTTAATCTTATCAAATTTTCTATATTCTATCTCCACTAGATCCACCAACAAAAGAAATGCTTTGTCAATTTCCTTTTCAACATTAATTAGCACAACTGGAGGAATTAAATATACCGCAAACTGTCTCTCTCTTTTAGCTAATGGAAGGAGAAGGGAAATCCTACATTTGTAATTGGTATCAAACATGTTGATTCTAGGAAGGCCCATGAAGACAAGTTCCAGGAAGAAAAAAGTGCTTTTCTAAATAATTTCTTGAATTAAAAAAAGTGGTGGTATATATACAATTTTAAAACAATGCATTCAACTTCTAAAAATATTTTAGGAATGTATAGAGAGAGTTGTAAGATAATTAGAAAAAGGACAGGAAAAACAAAACAAAACAAAACCCATTAACAAAACAAGAAGCTATATTGGTAAAAAAGAAAGAAAAGAAAACATTCAACTATTTGAAGTAGGAAACTTATAAGTTTCATTAATTAAAATAACTTTCTATGAGAATCCTGGGGATGTTCACTAGAGGAATAAGGCTCTTCAGTACAAACTTATTGCAAGGTCTCCAACCTAATAAAAGATGGGCAAGACTGAAGTGTAATAGAATGAGACATTATATCTAACATTAAATATGGCTTTATTTTTCAGAGAAAACCTCTCATATTTATTTT